ATGTTTGCATGTTTTACCCAGATATACTTGTAATGACTTTCTTTTCCCTTGTTCCTCGCCATCCAGAAAAGCTCACGGTTGGAACGGGTGAGATTGTCATTAAAGAATAGCTTGGGCTGACTGTCAACGTTGCTGAGCTCTCTTAGTCGTCCACGGCATCTCATCCATTGCTCCTTGAGGGCAACGGACGCAAACCTGACCAGTATTAATGGAGCAGTGTTTGGTCTGTCTGCCTTCTTCGGAAGTAGACGGTGGACGGACAGAACATCCGATGGCGTAAACTGTGACAGGCCGATGTTAGAGGCTAAGTCACAGAGAACCATGTTCAGGTTTTCTTTTGGCGTGGAAGGCATGCCCTGAATTTCCATGTTAGGTAGGCGATGTTGTTGCTCGGCGTCATTCAGTTCCGCTTGAAGCAGGTGAATAGCATTTGCCTGCTCTTTTACTGTGTTTTGGAGTGACTGGACTTCCGCCCCAAGGTCTTTGGTTACTTTTTTTTGCTCAGTGATTTCAGTGAGAACCGAGTCGTACTGAGCACTCAGGAAGACAACGGAATCCTGGACCTCTTGGACGGTTGTCCGCAGCAACTCAACGGTGGGTTTTAAGGCCAACAAGGCATCGACCTTCGCTGGGAGCGTGAGAAGCGAATCAACGCTTTGTTTTAACGACAGCAGCACGTCTAGCTTTTCGTTGACGGATGTTAGCTGGGCGGAGAAAGGGTGAGGTTCATCCTGAGATGTAGCCTCCACGTTTCCAGCGCCCGTGCGGTTGTCCCTGCTGCGACAGGTCTTGCAGCGCCACTTTTCTCGTTTGGCTGCTCCCATCGTCGTAAAGGTAGCGTCGGCAATTTCGGCACATTGACCCAAGTGAAGAGAACTGTTGCACTCCATGCACTTCATACATCTACCATCCGTCGGCACACACACGCCACACACGCCGCAGGCAGGAGGTGGGGACATAATGAAGAACGGGATACCCAGTTGACAAGAGACAGCAAAGAGGAAGAAGATGCAAAGGTTGGAATATGAACGTACGGGCTCACCGGAAGAAACCTGAAGGCACACAACTACGCATGCAGAGACCACAACACAAACATTGATGAAGGCGCCGATGATGATGCGTAGAAGTCTGGTTGAAGACGAATTCAGCGGAGAGGCATATGTGCTTTAGTCCGCAAGTGGTCTCGCCAGGATGAAACCAACCATCGGCAGAATAACGGTGGACTTGCAGTGGACTGAGTAGTCGCCCCAGACGATCTCCCCACCTGGTGTGGATGGAAGATTGTCGCCAGGAGCCTCAATTCGAAGAAGCCATAGAGAGACGAGGCAAATATTTCACAGCGGTGAAATGGCCTTCCGAACCATGAGACTTCTTCTTCTTCTTGAGGATGATAATAATAATAATAATAATAATAATAATAATAATAATAATAATAATAATAATAATAATAATAATAATAATAATTTTATTGCACAGACTTCAATACAATACAGAAAAAGCGGGCCCGTCGAAAGCCAATAGCGGCTTGTGGGACTGGACCCAGCAGCGGCGTAAAGGAAAAAAAAAACTATAGTGCACAAAACAAATATCAGCAATCACAAAACATTTGCGAAGTAGCTAAACACAAAGAGATAAAATAAACCTATAAATAATCGAAGTTGAAATAAGCTAAACAACAAAACAAAAGCACGAAAGAAAGTGCATGACACTATACAAGTCCAAACTCAACCGAAAAAGAGCGGCGAAAACCAAGAAAGGAAGACCAAGAAAATGCAGATACTTTTCAGCGCTGTCGACGCATACAAAGTAAAAAAAAAAGAAAAAGAAAGAGCGATGAAGAGCAAACATATTGAAGCTTGTTAAATAATCCAGAGTTAAGTACACATAACTCTAGCATAACTTTCGTAAAGCTTTTTTTAACTGACGCTTGGAAGTTATTTCAAAAAAACGTATCCGACATGTTGTTAAAGAGCTCAGGGACATAAAAGGAACGCAGTTTTTTCCCATACTTAGTATATACACGCGGAACGACATAAGGTTTGCTTTCTCTAAGAACGCGCTTTTCCACTTGAGGCGTCTTGAAGGTACTCGTCCAATAATGCTTGCTAATTACACATCTACTAAAGAGGGCTGAAAGGCGCGGGAGACCCAAGAAAACAAATAAATCATCACCAGACATAGGTAGCGAGGTGTACGCCACTCCCCTTAGAATGCTTTTTAAAATAGCGTCAATTTTATCATGCCAGAGCACAGAACAGTTAGCATATACAGTAATGCCATAACGCAACAAGCCGTAGGCTAATGCATTAACTATAATTTTTCTGACCGAAAAAGGGAAAAACGTTTTTGTACAATACAACATGCACGATACACTGCGCAGTCTTTTTGCAATATAAGCGAGATGCGAGTTCCAAGATAGATCAGCATCAAAAAATATTCCCAAGTACTTGACTGTGCTGACAAATTTAAGAGGCGTACACCTGCAATCTGTACACTTGGAAGAGTGCATTAGGAGAGGAATATCTGGGCAATACCGTTTTAAAGGATTACTGAAACGCACGAGTTTCGTTTTTTGAATGTTAAGTGTAATACAATTTGCTTCAAACCAGTATATTACTCGGGAAGCATTGGTTTGTAATAACGAAATGTCATCGTGGAAATTTATATGCCGTGAAACCAATAGCGTGTCGTCAGCGTATTGGTAAATATCGCACCCTAAAACAGTCTTAGCCAGGTCATTCACGTACAAATTAAACAAAAGGGGCGACAAAACCGAGCCCTGAGGCACTCCGGCTTTCAAAGGTACATCGACACTGGTGGCGTTACAAAGCGAAACGTGCTGCGTCCGGTTTGTCAAAAAATCTTGAAGGATACGGTAAAAAGGCCCCCTAAAACCATAGTCATACAATTTTTTCAGTAGTACCTTATGACTGATGGTGTCGAATGCCTTAGAAACGTCGAAAAAAAGTGCGCAGGCAAATTTGTTGCTTTCAAATGTTGAGTGAACGAGTCCACGAGTTCCTCTAATAGCGAATCGGTGCCACGCCCCGCCGTAAAACCGTGCTGTGTCGGCGACAATAGATTAAACTTGTCGAGAAACGTAGTCATTGTTTTTAACATATGTTTTTCCAAAACTAGCGCTAAACAAGGGAGAATAGATATTGGCCTGTAACTTTCAAAGTTATCACGAGCACCGCCTTTGTAAATTGGTCTAACTATTGCACTTTTCAAGCCAGCCGGAATTATTCCGAAGCTCAGAATTCCGTTAAATATGTGCAGTAAGATATTTTCCAGCACTTCAAAATTGCGCCGTAGGTCTCCGAGACGGATGTTATCTGCCCCGGGTGCCTTATTGGGATTAAAACTAAATAAAAGTGTACGTAAATCCTCCCTCGTCATGTCCGGCAGAAAGGCGGATGCTAAGCAAGAACGCTCTAGATTAGTAGGCGCGATAACTTCATCATGGGAGACACCCTAAAATTTGGCAAAGAAGTGATGGAAACCGTCAACAATTGGTAATACATTAGGCCCGAAATATTTTTTTATATTGTCATCAATGGACGGCCTACTAGAGCATCCCTTAACCTCGTTTACAAGGGCCCAGGTCTTAGCAGTATCGAAGCGTGATTGAAAAAACTTCCCCTGGAAATGACGACGTTTTCTGGAACGAATAAGTGCAGTTACACGATTCCTTTCACATTTGTATTGCAATCTTAGCTCTTTGTCCTCAGGAAAACGTCGACATCGTGCCCACAAGATATCTTTCTCTTTGACGGCAGAAAGGAAGTCTGCCGTCAGCCATGGCTTATTCAACCTACGTTTTTTTATTGTAGTGGTTTTTGAGCTCATGGCCCTAAAAGTTGAGAAAAGTTCAACTAACTTTAAGTAGGCCTCCTGATAGCTACAAGTTTCAATAACATAATTCCAATTGTAAGTGGAAATTAATCTATCGAAGCGGCGCGTATCTGTAATTTCGGCTTGGTTTTGTTGTTCTATGGCATCTGAAATGATATCGAAGTTAATTCGACTAGCCACAAAATAATGGTCCGCCAACTTTTTCTTAATGACTGCCGATAAGATGGGAATTCCCGAGTTTCTAATGTTAATATGGTCAATACAGGATGTGACCAAAGTGCCAGACATGTATTCTTCTCTAGTAGCTGTTTGGATTACGCTTTCAATGCCATAATTCGCGAGTATATTTAAGTAATCACAGACGATAGTCTTTGAAGACTTTAAAAGGTCAATGTTGAGGTCACCTACCATGCAAAATTTATCAAGACACATTGTATTCTCTAGACTCACGTTCAACTCATTTAAGAAGTTACGCGCATTTTCCGATGGTGGCCTATAGAAAGCCAAAAACGATATCGCAAAATTATTTTTACTGAGTTTTAGCGCAACACATTCTGCATGTGTAAAAGATATCTCCAAGTTAACGACTGTCCAAGCTTTTTTAACATAAACGGCAATTCCTCCTCCTCTAGTAGAGTTACGTGTAAAGAAATAAACTTCAAAGCCCGGCAAAGAAAATTGGCCCTGCGATACGCCCACATCTCGGACATTAATTTCTGTTAGTACGAAGACGTCGACACTGGCCTCAAGAATCCCAGAAATAAGCTGAAATTCATCCCAGTATTTTCTAATACTTCTGATATTCAAATGGAGAACCGTAAGTGCGCTATCACTAGGCGGAAAGGCGTTCAGAAAGGAAGGAAAATGGGTACTTAAAAAAGTGTTCTCCATTTTTAAATTATTTTTTCTAAATCCCGTGCACTAGCGATGCGCACTGGTGGAGAGTTCTCGTCTTTCTTTGCAAAGATTGTGGCGTTTTTAACCCAGGCAAATTTATATGATTTTTCCCTGCCCATAGTTCGCGCCTGCCAAAAAAGATCCTTATTGGTCCTTGTCAGGTTTTCATTGAAGTATATTCTTTGCTGATTTCCTGACCGAGGAAGTGTGGCCAACTTCTTTCGAGCGGCCATCCAGTGTTCCTTCACCGACACGGAACTGAACTGAACCATGATCGGGGCAGGTCCTTCGCGCCTCGAGCGGAGGCGGTGGCAGGCTACAACATCGACGGGGTTGTGACAATGAATATCTAGTTTTGTTGCAAGGTCGTTCATAGTAATCTTCAGATTTTCATCGTTTGCGGTGGGAATTCCGTGAATTTCCATATTACATCTTCTGCTGTACTGTTCAGTTGAATTAATGTTTGTTTGGAGCTGTTCGATAAGGGTAGTTTGGTCTTTCACTGTTGTTTGCAGCACTCCGACCTCGGATCGGAGCAACTTGACCTCCTTATCGTTTTCTGCAACGAGTTGCATCATAGACTCGCATTTCTTAATCGACTCTTGCAGGCCCTTGATCGTCTCTTTTGTCGCGTCCAGTGATGGCCTCAAAGAAAGGAGATCGTCTACTTTAGCCGGAAGATCAGACAGGCGATCAACGTTGACTTTCAGTGTGTGTAAAAGCTCAAGCTTGGCGTTTATCTGCGCAAGTTGTGCGGTCACGGCACCTTCGTCGGCTGACAACGACGCCTCCTCAGCACCGCCTGCGCCTAATCTGCTGTCACGAGTTCTGCAAGTGCGGCAGATCCATTTGTCTCGTTTGGCGCTCCCCATTGATCTAAAAGTCCTTTCCGCAATGCCAGAGCAAGCCTCAAGGTGGTATGCATGATTACAAGAAGAACACGTAATAAAAACACCATCACTCGGCAAAGGGTTGAAACATGCAATGCACTCAATGGCGTCTGGAGAAGCCATGACTGGCTTAAAATAGACAACATAGAAAAAAAAGTAACAATTATCGCAAAAGTACTTGTTGCAGTCGGCGGCGGAGATAGAAACTTAAGCTAACAAAAACATAATTATAACAAACTATCACCTGCCGAAAATGACTAGGTTAGTTGCTTGCTGAAGACAGGCCGCCGACTGCGCCGAAGAAGGCCGTGGGATCCGTTTTTATGGTGTTGAATCCAGTTGCCCCGATGACGATCGACCACGTGACCAGGCGTCAGACGACGAGTGCTTTGTCAGATCTTCATCTGTCGGCGGCCGGCAGCGATGACGATGCGCCCGGCACCAATGACGATGGAACTCGGCACCGATGACGATGGAACCCGGCACCAGGAACTGCCGGAGCACGCCTGCCGAAAATGACTAGGTTAGTTGCTTGCTGAAGACAGGCCGCCGACTGCGCCAAAGAAGGCCGCGGGATCCGTTTTTATGGTGTTGAATCCAGTTGCCCGGATGACGATCGACCACGTGACCAGGCGTCAGACGACGACTGCTTTGTCAGATCTTCATCTGTCGTCGGCCGGCAGCGATGACGATGCGCCCGGCACCAATGACGATGGAACTCGGCACCGATGACGATGGAACCCGGCATCGATGACGATGGAACCCGGCACCGATGACGATGGAACCCGGCACCAGGAACTGCCGGAGCACGCCTGCCGAAAATGACTAGGTTAGTTGCTTGCTGAAGACAGGCCGCCGACTGCCGACTGCGATTATTATAATAATAATAATAATAATAATAATAGTAATAATAATATAATAAGAATAAAAATAATAATTTTATTGCGGGTGCTTAAACGTCCACAAAATATCATTTCGGGACCGTCAAAGTTCTAAAGACTTGTAGGACTGATCCCGACAAAATATCTACAAAAGCACTCATAACAATGAAAAAAACAGACACACACACACAAAAAACACACAACAAAGAAGTTACAAAAATCCAGAGACACGACAAGGTAAATAACGTTAAAGACGAGTTGCAAAGTAGAAACTCATTTCGGAAAGTCTTGAAGGTTGACGCTATTATCCTATGGACGAGCACATAGTCTTCAGTTTTCTTTTTAACTTTCCACGACAAGTGATCTCACTCAGCACAGGTAGGAGTTTGTTAAATGTGTTTGGAACATAATAACTCCGAATCCATGTCACAAAATGAGCACTGATTCGCGGCGTAGCATATCCTGCCGCTTTCCGAAGGTCACGACAAACCACGTTGGGAACCTTAAAGGTGTTATCCCAGTAATGTCGGACTTTAAAGGTATGCAGAAATAGGGCTCGAAAGGATGGTTAAGAAAAATGGTCAATGATGTTTACGGATGTTTGAATATTGGAGCCATATGCCACGCTATGGAAGATGCCCTTTAGGAGAGAATTCACTTTAGTTTCTAATAGGTTTGTGCACTGCCCGAACAAGGTTATTCCATATCGAAGCACACTACAAACGAGTGCGTGCGCAATAAGTCTTCGGGTTGACATGCGGATAAACGTTCTTATATTGCAGAAGGTGCAGGACGCTGCTCGGGGGCAGCTTCTTCATGATGTAGAAAAAGATGGGAGTTCCACGATAAATCAGAGTCAAAATAAATTCCTAAGTATTTTGCAGTGTTCACGTTGTCTACTGGCACACATTCACAAGAGCACAGTCTGAAGCGTGCAGAAGTATTGGCTTGTTTAAAATTACTCTCTTAAGCGGACTAGAAAAACACATTAGTTGCGTTTTTTTCCTGCTGACGCTAATGACATTTCTTTAAAATCAATCCATGATCTTAATTGAATCAAACTGCAGTAATTCTACTGCCTTACTATAATGCAAATGACTTGATACTAGAACGGTATTGTCTGCATATTGACGTATCTTACTGTATTACACTACCTGGGAAAGGTCGTTGACATAAATATTAAGAAGAGGCGAGAGCACAGACTCCTAAGGTACGCCAGATTTCAAAGATATTTTAGCACTGTATTGTCCAGATATCGAAACTACACTCTAAGAAAAAGTTGGCCTCAAGGGACTAACGGCAGCATTTGGTCCTCTGGACTCCCAGTTGCCCCCGAAAGGACCATCTGGCTCAAGCTAGGTACCGTGCGCAAAAGCTGGGGACTAACTGCGTTCGACTGGGACCAACCGATAGGCGTGCAGGGGCAAAAGCATCCATTAGTCCCCTTCAGACATGGTGCATCTGTATGATTTAGTTCCCGAAGGCAAGCCGAATGTTCGCCAGGAGGACGGATGCTATTTTGCTTGTCTTGGGGATCGGCGAGACTCAGCCCAGCACGGCTGAAAGTGTTGACAAAACTCGGACGAGACCGGCGAAGTTGTTTAATGTGCCACGAACGTTCAGACATTGCATTGTAGAGCTTCGCGCGTTGTGCGAGTGCGAATTAACGGATGTGTTGAATCTACTTCACCCAACTATCTCGTCAAAAATGATCTGTTGACATTCCACAAGTCCCATTTACGGAATTTGCCTTCGCGCAAAAATTGTGCATTTATCCAAACGCAACACCTCCAAATACTAAAGCTTTTTTTCTTTTTAAAATGAAACTTAACAGTTTGTAGAAGCCACGCTTTTAACACTGGAGTCTCGCACTCAGAAAAAATGGTCACTTCAATCGCTAAAACTGAGCATTCCCACCGGCGATATAAGCAGTCGCGCGATGCGACTGGATCGCATCGCAAAAAAAAATTAGATGGTCACACCGGCGTGCGCGATGAGCGAGTCCAACGCCTTCGTTGGCGAGTCGTTTCTCGAAAACTTTCGCTCCGAACGCCGTTGATTGGCTCAGCCGCTCCGCGCCTAGATCGCATCGCAAAAGTAGGGTCGATAAGCGACTGCTCAAATCGCATCGCTTTTTGCCCGCGATGGTCGCTTTTGCGATGAAAGTTATCGCGCGACTAGATCGCATCGCCGGTGGGAACGCGCCTCCGTCTTTGCGTCTCCCCGTGACAAACCTTTCTGGGTAGTCCAATGTCGAACACAAAATCCGCAACGACACACCTGATGCAAGGCACATTCAACTTAAAGAGCACATTCACGGGCAGTATCCATACGCCTTCATGCCATCGTCGCCCCTGTTTCCTGCAACAATCCAGATGAACAACGAAGAACGAACCATGCCCGGAACGTCACACTTGGCAGCACCCTACTATAGTTCGTTTCAGCTTCCGTCCTAGCGCTGCGAAACCTACGTGTGGCCGGAGCCAATCAGACGCCGGCAATAGGTCAGGCGATCTCGCCTGCACCTTTGTACCACTCCGCTGCGCCGCTGCTCGTCCGCGCCACCAGCGCTCGCCGAGCATTTCGTCGGCTACGGGTGTATAAACGGTATCGACTGCTAAAGGTTTAAAAAGAGCCCTTCCACGTTCTGAAATTTAGTCACAGGGGATGTCAGTGCGTAGGCTGGCCGCTGCCGTCTGTGCCCGAGCTTTCCACCTGTTCGGCATAGTTTCGAGATGTAAACTACAGGTTGCAAGATGCCCGATGTCCCGGCCGTTGGTGTTTCCTTGCAATGTCTGGATATACCAAGGCTCGAGGCGCAGTCCTTTCCAACAGCTTCTCGGCTTTCAATGTGATCGACAGGTAGAGAGGTGCCCTGAGTTCGCCGCGAAGCAGTGAATTGTATGGCCCGGACGCTTTTCTTGTTTACAAAACATTCGCGGTACGAGGCGGCCGGAGTCTCCTGCCGAATTTGAAAGCAGACATTCATCACGACCTCTCACGCCTGACGCCCAAACGTGCCTTCGCGAAAGGACGTTTTGAAGCGACTCGGTGAGGAAAGCAGCGAAGCACATTATTCAGCCATTACGGTAATTACGGGAACGAAATCACACAGAAAAACTGAGCGCTGCAGCCGTGTTGCCAGCGGATGTACGTGCTTTCACCAAACCACATGCATTTACATATATTAATAAAAAGATAAACTTCAGATATTTAATTCCTTTAGTTGCAAATAATTCTCAGCAGTAGATATCTGGAATATTGTGCAATGTTTAGGCACAAAACAGTTATTAATAAAAAAAAAAAAGATCTTTTGCGGACTACTTTGTGGTGCGTAGGAATGCTCTTCTCGAAGTTGCGAACCGTCCTTCCGTTGCGAACCTTCCGTCCGAGCGGAGCCTTTGGCTCTGCTCGGACGGAAGCTGAAACTAAGTATAATACAAAACAAATGCACACTAAAAAAAAAAGAAAGCCACCCGAGAAAGTTGAAAATGCTTAAGAGAGAGAGAAAAGAAAGAAAAAAAAAGTGTTTGCTTGTACGTCACTCGACCGGCGTGTTGAAAGTGGCGACCTTCTCCCGTCCTTGGAGCTCTTCGGTGTCCCTGTGTCGTGTGTAGTGGGAGCGGGAAAAGAGATTATCTTCTGCGCGTACTGCCCCCACCCCCCAATCCCCTACCCCGCATTCTTTGCTTCTTGTTCACGCGGAAGGTTTGGCGTTAGTTGGGCAGATAGGGTCCGTCGGGAAAATGGGAAGTGTTTCTGCTTGAAAAGAACCTGTTTTAGTAAGTTGAAAGTCGAAATACAGTCTTCGTCGGAGGCTGGTCGTCTTGTGTCGTCTCCGATCATGGTGGGATCCGGTTTGGATTCGCGGTGCTGAAGCACTGCACTTGATCTGTTCTAAAGTCACAAGTCAAGGGAACTCGATTGAGGTATGTCGAAGTGTTTCTGTTTATGGTGTATTCATTAACTGCGGCTTCAGAAAGTGTTTTATTTTGAGCGCGTTCTCTAGCTTGCAAAGCGCGCGCCATGCTCTATTCTTTTTGGCACCTTGGTTGCTGATTTTGTTATGCAGCACAGAGACCTCATATTCAATCGTATCGAGCGAAATGCCAGTTCTACCTATGGCTTATTTTTTTGTGTGTGTGTGTGTTTCGCAGACCCTGGCGGGATCGCTTGACAGTAAACGCCTGTCCACACATGCAGCGGAGCGCTACAGGCATAGCGCTGACCTTGCGCTAAGCGCGTGCTGACGGGATTGGTCACCAGCTTGGTATCGGACCGACAAAAC